AAGCACAATAAGAGTTTGCTTATGAAGTGGTGGTGGAGATATGGTCAGGTAGGAACATGTTTATGGAAGGCAGTAGTGAATGCCAAGTACGGGAAGCTAAACCACTGGAGTACCAAACAGAGTAGAGCCCCTCATGGTGTTGGTTCTTGGAAATTTATCAACAGTCTGAAAGAGGAATTCTTTCGGGACGTTTCATTTAGAATTGGAGATGGCACCTCAGTTAGGTTCTGGAAGGATAAATGGCTTCACAATCAACCATTAAAACACTCATCCAGCCCTGTACCAGATAGCAATCAATCAGGACTCAAAAGTTGCCCAATGTATGTAGATCAAGGAACATATGGGACCCCCTCTTCAGAAGACACATGCAGGAATGGGAACTTGGAGAACTCTTTGATCTTTTCCGGCTACTGGAAAGCTTTCAAATGAATACACAAGCTCAAGACAGTTTAAGGTGGGGCAATCTGAACGAAGGTTGTTATTCAGTCAAGGAAGGATACAAGAAATTGTGTGCTAGCAATGAAGTAACTGAGCTTTGGCCATGGAAGCTAATTTGGAAGACAAAACTCCCCACAAAGGTCATGTGCTTCACCTGGATAGCTCTTAAAGGTGCGATTTTAACCCAAGACAACTTGTGTAGTAGGAATTTCCAGCTGGTGAATAGATGTTACATGTGTCTAGACAACTCAGAATCTATAAACCATCTGCTATTGCACTGCAGAGTGGCTGCAGATTTGTGGCACATGTTCCTCTCAACGATTGGCATAAGTTGGACAACACCACAAGGGATAAAAGAAGCAGTTGAAAGTTGGAGTCAGTGGAAAGTTGAGAGAACCATCAAGAAGATCTGGCAGATGATCCCAGCAAGTATATTTTGGTGTATTTGGGCAGAAAGGAATCGCAGATGCTTTGATGGAATATCAACTCCCAACAGCTACCTGAAAGCAAAGTGCCTTAGGAATCTATATAGCTGGAGCAACCTTTCCTCTGTAAATGATTTAATTCCATTTCTAGATTTTATTAGCTCTCTGTCTTTGGCTTGATTGACAACCAAAGGCTTTTGGTGATTCTGGTTTAGCTCCCTGGTCAGAATTGTATTTTTGTGTAAATGGAGCTAACCAACCTCTTTTGTAATGATTTGCATCTTCCTGATGCCAGCAATATAACATCTTACTTCATCAAAAAAAAAAAAAACCAACCAACAGGATAATAAAGACAAATAACAAAGTACAACAACAAACCAGTAAAATCCCACTCCCATTGGTGGGGTCTGGGGAGGGTAGTGTGTACGCAGACCTTACCTCTACCCCGAAGAGTAGAGAGGCTGTAAAATAACAAAGTAATGCACCTATAATTTCAGTCCAGAAACTATAAGATGCAAGAACATCAGACCAGAGGCTTACGAATAACAATAAGTCAATATATTCATCCAAATATTTTACAAGACCACACCAAAAAGAAAAAGTAATTTAACCAATCACTGATAAGAACCTGCAGCAATACTAAATGACAATGATATATCAGCTCACAAAGAGAAGGGAACCATAAAAACATGCAAAACATTTACTTGAAAAAGTTAAGACGCATTTAAGGCAGTACTAACAGCAATAAATGCCATGTGCACAACATTTTTTCATCAAAAAAAAATAAAAAATCAACCTGGGCTATTGACGTAAAGCACTCCAGCAGCGGGAAAAGATCCTTGTCTGAATTTGGTATTTGCTGCCACTTTTCAATTAATGGGGGCATCAAAATCTCGAGATACCTTGGCTGTGTAAACCAGCAAAAGAATTAAAAAAGCAAAAATCAGATATCACAAGCCGACTAAATTTCTTTAAACATAACCTAAAATCATAAAACAAAAGGAGCACTAACGAGTTAACATGTTAGCTAACACAAAAAGAGTGATGCGCATAATCTACCTGATTAAGTTCCCCTCCAACTGCATCTGCCAATGTTCCAATGGCATCATACACGATTCTAAGGTTCCGTCTCTATGGACAAATAAAAGGTCAGACGCTTTTAACAAACAGAAACACAGCAAGGTGTCAGCCAATGTAGGGAAGACAAAAAGACCTGGTATTTTCCGAATGCACACATCAAATGTTGCAGAATGATTTCCAAGCATGGTGCTAACTCTTCTGCAGCCTCCTGCAAAAAGTAAACCATCAGTTAGGTATACATATAAAAGAACCTGAATATTACAACAGCTTAGCACAAAAACCTCTTCAAGAGTAGCAAAAGCTGAACAAGCAGCTTCTTGCACTCGTTTATTATCATCCAATACTCTCCGCAGAAGACCCATCAAAATTTTGTTGAATTGTTCACGGCCTTCTGGATGATCAGTGCCCTAAAAGAAAGTCAAACAAACAGCACGAAAACATAAAAATTATCCAGTGACGCCAACATATTGCAAAAGGAAACTTAATTTCAGTCAAATGGAGAACTGAAATTAACAAAAAGGAAAAAGGGTCTCAAGCAGCAAATAAAAACTTCAACAGTCGGAAACAAGTAGTGCATGATAACTTTTTCTGAATAGGAATTGGTGCAGGATAACTTCAATAAGCTAACATATATAAGTGATATAACATTAAGTATATATAATAATTATGTACTTGATAATTAGTAAAAGCATCAAAACTTAATTTAACAGTCAATATTGGGGCAGCCAGATTAGTCGGATACACGATGACCACATTGGACCGTTCATCTACATCTCACAAAGTGTTGTTAAAGGCGTGTTTAAGCCCTGAAGCGTGGCTCAAAACATGTTGAGCGCTTCGCCTCGCTTTATGGGCACTTCAGTGTTGCATCAAGGCTAAGTATGCCAACGAGTGTAATCCTGAAAAGGCGACACTAAATAATTGATATTTCACTTTATCGTAATTTTTTTTCAATTTCTTTGTCCATATATTTGTTATTCATGCTTATAATTATTGGTCTTACACTACATATACATATTTTTACTCTTTCTCTAGTTGCGTCTTTTTCATTAAAGCCCACGCTTTATTTGCGCTTTGCGCTCAAAGCCCCAACGGATCTTGGAGCTTTTTTGCGCTTTTCGCCTTTGATAACACTGCTCACAATATTCTTAACCCTAAGATCAACAAATGTAGATATATCAGCAACTTAAACAACACCTCATACCCCCACGTCAGGCAAGGCTCGGGGCTGAAAACTATTTTCCAGTTTGTAACCACTGCTTTACCCATTCTCTATTACAACTGAAAGTATAAACAACATTCCTACAAATATATCTATTTGAGGGTGACAACTAAACACTAAACCCTGAAACGAGAAAATACCACATCATTGTGATGAATTTGACCCAAGAAGGGTTGGTGGTTTAGGATCGCCACAAACTCTATGTAAATATGTTGGCCATTTAAGTCACATGTATGATAATGTAGCTTAGAGCTAGAAAAGGAGCATTTATTACCAACCTGAACGATATATTTGCTGAAGCGGGACAGTGTCCAACAAGAGATGCTTCGGATTAGAGGATACTTGTCATCTAAAAGTGGGATGAGAAAGGTAATGATCTGAATGGGAAAAAAAAAAGAAATGAAAAGAAAGAACTTTTAAAAGACAAGTTTCTTCAATATGTGCATATCTCAGAACATATATACCACTCACTTCCCGAAAAAAAAACCAGCAATAAATTGCAAAGAAAGACATGACGTGGTGGTCGCTCAGAAACCAAACTTCTCATACATTTTATATACAATCTCCTTCATCAACATAAATTCTTTTTCTAGGTCTAGGATGCTTGCCAATGATAGGATTACCTCGGATAAATGAGGGAAAAGCCCATTTAGGCAGCCTTCAGCTATAGCACCCAGAGCTAGTACAGCTGCTTCCCTTTCCTTCCAGGCTTCATCACTCGTATTTGACAATTTAGTCTGTCCAGATACAAGAAAGTTGCAATGTATTAGATCCATTTATCGCGAACTACTAACCAAAAGGTAAAAGGACAAAATTAACTTCAGTTCTAGTTTCTCTCGTTTCCTTCTTTCATTAGTATGATCAGTGTTTCAACACACGACGATAAAACTTTAATTCTTCAAATTGATGTTATATTGATCCTCTAAGGGAGTTGCTGCCTAGAGGGAAGAGTTCTGCCATTGTTATGGGCAACAACCACTTATTTGATGAGAACAGGCCCGTCAAAATATAGACCATTAATGATAATTTATTTGTTCCCCTTTATTTTAAATTGCACAAGACTATTTTCACAATCATTTATCTATAGCATCTTAACATATAATTTAACCTAGCATATTTTATAAGGTTAAAGTTTAATTAATAAAGGTACCAAGAAGGTACACAACAAAAACAAACAACCCCTGCAATAATTTCAAGTTACATAATTCCCAAGTGATTCAAAGAAATCCATATACTGATCTTCCACTCACGCCAAAAAATAACAAATTTTGTAGACAAAGGTCATTGACTCTAGAAATATGATTCTTTTTGTTCTCAAAGCAAGCACTATTTCTCTCAGTCCAAATTGTCCTGAAAATACACCAAGGGATAGTCCTCCAAAACTTCTTCTGGTTGTTTGCTATCTTCTGCCCATTCCAGCTTTCCAGTAGACTTCTAACATCTGAAGGCATTACCCAAACTACACCACACAAATTTAGGAAGAGCTCCCAACACTGCTTGACCACTTTGCAATGGATAAAAAGGTTATTGACTGATTCCAGATCCTCTTCACAAAGATAACATGTATTACTTAACATGAAACCTCTCCTCTGCAAATTGTCTTGGGTTAAGCATGCTTCTCTGATCGCAACCCACCCAAAACAAGCTTCCTTGACAGGTGCTTTGGACTTCCATATCATTTTCCATGGCCAATTTGGCTCAAAGTACTCTGACTGCTTTTGCAAAATGCTACAACTGCTTTAACAGAGTATTTCATATCACTGTCTGCTGCCCATAGCATAACACCCTCCTTATCTCCTTCTACCACTGCTGTACTCAATAATTGTATTAATTGTCCAACTTCCTCCATCTCCAAATCATTGAAATCTTTTTTAAAATTCAGTTGCCATCCACCAGAAGCATAAAATTCAGAGACACAACCTTCTTGGGAATCTAATACCAATCTACATCAGTATGCAAACATCTGAGTAAAGAATTTCCTTTCTTTACCTTTTTGAGAGAGAGAGAGAGAGAGAGATGAAAGCTAGGAATGAATAGCTGGATTTAATTTCACAAATAATCAATCACCTGAACAACAGGCATCAACATTGGTAGAATATCATCACCGAACACATTTGAGAGAATGTCCAGAGCAGCTGCACTGCACTTGCGTAAGTTCCACATATTTACTATGTCTTCATCCTATAATTAGGAAGCATAATGCTGATATCAAAGGCCATAGAAAAGTGAGCACTAATTAAGAAAATGATTGGTCAATTAAACCACATACATCATCATCTTCACCATCCTCTGAACCATGAAAACGTGAAGAATGAAATCTAGGTTTGATATCCTGTCCATAATGACTTCCAATGTAATTAATGCCAAGTTGCCAAATGGAAAGGATTAGTTTTTTAGCTAAAAAGGAGAAATGACGACCAAACCTGATCACGATCTGGCAGAGATCCATCCTCCTGTAATAAAACGTAATAATGTTTGGTTAAGCAAAAACAGAACACAACAAATCATTTCAGACTTATTTGACATCTGAAGATGAACTAAACACCAAACCTCAGCCTCCAGAAGTGACTCGTCATCATCAGCATAAACCATGTTAGACAGCAAAACCTAAAAGTGGTGCAGGAAGCATTATGCATAAGAATATGCTAAGACAAAAGACACATAATACCAATATGAAAAAGATAATTAGTTTGTGGATAAAGCATACCGGAATCAACCGTGGCAAGAATTCTCTCAAGTTTTCGGGGGGCAACTGAGCATCAAAGTATGCGGACCTGTCAATGACACCCACATCCAATCAAATTTGACAAGAGATCAATTCGCAATAGAAGATTCCCAATTATCCAAAACAAAGCAACAATTCTCAACCATAACGTGAGATTTTTGAGAGCAGACAGAACAGGTAAAAGCAAAAACTTCGAGCACCCAAGAGCATAATTTATTTATGAAACATAATGCAGCCCCAACCACAAAAAAGAGGAAGATATCCAGCAAGTAGAACTCTAGAAGAACTTAAGCAAATCCATCCTGCTGTATTAATAATAGGTGCAATTCTTGGGTGCCAGAACATTTTCTACATATTTCACATAAAGAAAAAAAAAATACTCAGAGGGGTCTCTATTTGGGGCTCACCACATATCATTACTCACATTATTTCTATGGTACACTTCCATGACTTGCAAGGTAACTGGAAAGGTTTACAGTGTCATTAGACCAAATTTCAAGCAGTCAGTATCTATTAACTCATTCTCTCTCACACAGTATCTAAAACAATTCTCACATTGCTCTGGCTCTTCCCTCTCAATTAAGTATAATCTTAATATTTAAAAAATTAAGTATAATCTTAATGATCTCCCTATTCCTTAACTCCCTCTTCATTAGTGTAGAGACTCTTTTCCTAATCTATGTTCTCCCTCCAATTTATTTGGCATCTAGTCCTTTCATCCTAAAATGATTTAACTATTGTTTACAAACATCTCTTACTAACTCTCTAATACAATAATCTCGCCTAACTTCTTTGAGTCCTCACCATGCTAGCTAAAATTCTTCTAACAATGCACGCGTATCCAAAATATATTAAGTGGAAGGTGCACGGAGCTCATGTGATCTCTAATATCAAATATAGCTTTAAAACGAATGATAATTGTATATTTTCGCCAACCAGCTTATTGAAATTTGAATTCAGTCCATTCAGGCAAAGGAAACCTAGTCACACTTCAAAATAGAGACAAAATCTTACCACCAACATAACATGTCACTAAAGGTTCCCAAACCATGTTAAATAATACATCATCTTTACAATTCCATCAACCATTTTATCAAAAACAGAATAAATCTATAGCATAATAATGATGAATATTGTGCTCTCAATGCAAAGATTAGTAAAGAATTTCCAGCAAAATGGTGTATTCTTCCTCCACCGTTGACACAATTATCATGCCAGTGAGCAATATGAATATCTAAAATTGAAGCACTGAAAAAGGGGAAGGTTACCAAAATTCACAAGCTTCAAGTGCCACTTCTTCATCTGGATCCTTGTTGACTTGCAATATATATTCTATAACATTCCTTAAGTGTGGCTGTGTCAAAGGACCAGAAGTTGATTAAGAACATGTTAAAAGAATAGAAGTATGCTGTTCCATGTTCCTCTCACTCTCTCAGGCAAGACCATTAATTAAAGTGTACAGACTGTTCAGTTTTTCGTTTTCCTAAATCTCACTGCATATAACATATATGTAATACCTAAAAGGGAAATCAGGAAGTGGAACCAGTAGTTTAAACCTTCTATAATGAATTCAACTTCCACACGGTATCCTAATATAGAGGATTCATATCGCTAAGCCTAAATAGTTTGGGGTATAGTTGATTGCTTAATTGATTCATTGACAGTGTACAAGTGATGCGGCATTTTGCCCACATTCCCCCTAACCCCAATAAGACAATAATAAGACTTACTTGGTGCAGTTCAATGATATCTTCACTTGTAAAAAAAAGGCAATAATAAGCCTCAAACAATCAAAAAGTACGAATCAAAATAAACTTACAGTTAAAAATACTGTTCCTTCAAAATGTTTTAACTTCATTGTATTTAAAAATTTAAAACTTTTAGAAACCTGGAACTCTTTCGGCAAATAAAAGCAAGTGCAAGTGGAAAGGAGATGTGACAAATAAGAGAATAGGCAATTAATTTAGAATGGAAAGAGATGTCACCTCCAAAAAGGCAGGACGAACTTCAATTAGTTGAACAAACGCTGCACAAACCTATTGAGAAAAAGGCAAACTGAGTAATTGGTGCCAAAACTATTTTTTTTACTAAGGTAGCAGAAGAAAACTCTCTACAACAGTCAAAAGCATAATTGATATCACAGGAGCAGACTTCAAAATCTCTTTGCAGGTGGGCATGCTAAAATAAAAATTAAAAAAAAATAGATTTTGTAGAGAAGAGTGATATAAGAAAGAACGAGTGACAAATAAGTAGAACAATCATGTCAGTTAGAAAACCATCTTCCATGTCATTTAACACTACAGTGTTGTCAAAGGCTCACTTATGGCGCGCTTAAGCCCTGAAGCTCAGAAAAGCTCAGGGAGGGCGCTTCGCCTCGCTTAAGTTGCACCTCAGCCTAAGGCAAGGCACTAAGACATGCACCTCATTCTCCATGAGTTTTGTCGTAAATTAAGCGGTTCTAAACAGCAAACATAATCGGAAAATAAGTGTACTAGTTGTAAAGGAAAATATTATGAATGAATTTGGTACTTTGTTCTTGAATTACATATATTATCTCCTTCATTACGTCTTTTATTACTTGAGCCCACACTTTCAGTGCGCTTAAAGCCCCAGCAGACCAAGAGAGCTTTTCGCCTTTGACAACACTGGCAGTGTTATCAAAAGCGAAAAGCGCAAAAAAGCTCCAAGGTCTGTTGGGGCTTTAAGCGCAAATAAAGCATGCGCTTTAATGAAGAAAGGCGCAAATGGAGAAAAATTACAAATATGTATGTGTATTCCAGGACTAATATCTATAAGCATGAATACCAAATATATAGACCAAGAAATTGAAGAAAATATCAATTGTTTAGTGTCGCCTCTTCAGCATTACGCTCATTGGCAAGGAAAAGTATGCCTTATAGCCTTGATGACGACACTGAAGCGCCCGCTACGCGAGGCGAAGCGCTCAACATGCTTTGAGCCTTGCTTCAGGGCTCAAGCGCGCTTTAAGCACGTCTTTAATAACACTATTTAATAGAGAACTGAACATATGACTCCCATCATTCTTGAAATAGAAAAATCATAGCCCTAGCACAAAAGACAGCTAAGTTCTAATAGACATACAAATTTACCATTACCTCTTACGACGAAGCTAAACAACTAGAAAAAAACACTCAGAAGAAACATCCCATCTACCAGGTGCCTACTACAAAGACCATTTTAACCTATTAATACACCAGATGCTTGATCTGTGAACTAAAGTCATAAATCTCTTAACAGATTTAATTCAGTCTTACGAGCTCAATTTATCCTGCTACAGCTATCATAAATAAGCGTACATCAAATGATATTGATAGCAATTTTGATGATGTGCACCACAGAAGAGAGAGCATGCATATGAATTAGATATCCCAGCAGTTACTTACCAACTTCCGCACCTCTGGAGCAGGGTCATTGGCAAGAAGAAACAAACCTTGAAGATATTTATCCATGGATAGATACAAAACCTATAACAGTAGCACTGATCAGATGAGCAATGGAGTCAAAATGGCACAAAGGCAGCAGAAAGGGTAATAACTAGATAGCCCAACAGAAGAGGTACTCACTTTAGGCATCAGCATTATAAATTGATTCACAGAACTCAGTGAAAGCTTTCTGATAGTAGCATGAGGTGACTGGAAAAGCTGTCCGTGCAAAGGTCAAGTTAGAATGATACTATGAATTTAGCATCGAATATCAAATATACAGCAAACTATATAATAAATGAAGCAACATCAGATAAAATTGGGCAAAGAAGTGAATATAAGGAAAGGGAAGAGTTCGCTTACCAGGAGAAACCTTGGAAGGAAAACAGTAATGGGTCGATCAGATAATCCAGAAATATCAGAATCAAGAAGTTGAGGAACGTCCTCACAGATCTGCATTACAGAAAATGTTCAGCAGGCCAGTTATGTGTTAGTTTAACAAAGATCTGACACATGTCCCACTGTGGCGATTTTTACCACTGTTGTCACTTTACACTCACGTTCACTAACAATGTAACAAGAGACTAAGATCATCACCCTTACAACATATGTTGCAAAGAGAATTTAGCAATCTTTGAGGATCTCACATAATGAGCACACTACAGAAGAAATAGTTCTTTTTTATTATAGTTATGCAACATTTTCAAATACAGATATTGACACCAAGTTTCACACTGTATCCCGTGAAATATTATCGAGTGAAATATTAGTTAAATAACAGTAAAATGATACCTTTGATAAGGCATCCATGGCTCCTTCCATGTGATTTATGTCATTACTATCCAAGCTATTGACAAGTGCCTGTAGCAACTCTGGCCATCCAGCAACTCCGTCAATCTGTACAAGAACACTAATGATAGTCCCAGTTGTAGACCTGATGTGTCTATCTGCCGCCCCGAGAGAAGGTAGCAACTCAGATTTTATGTACTGCTGATTAGCAGGAGGCATGTTTTTGAAGGCAGTTCTCAGGTTATTTTTCAGTAGCAACCCAGCTGCTTGCCGAACGTCCACTGACTTCCCCTGTTATAAGGACCAACCAGATTGTTGAGTGGAAAATATAGTAGTTTTCCAAAATATCACCATGTTTAGACCAAACCCGTTCCAATTGCAATATGAACAAGATGATCTACCATGCATCAAAAAATAGATGTCAATACAAGCCATCTTTTCACTGTTGTGAAATCCACTACATGCTAGCAACATAAGAAAGTTATAATCCTATAGAATATCAGGGAATGAAAGAGAGAGAGAGATCACAATGCCGCCAACAAAGAAGACCTAGGACTCAATGCAATATTTAAATCAGAGAATGAAAGAAATGGAGAGAGAACTCACTGTCAGTGGCTCCGCCACTGCCAAGGAAGGAGGTTCAATTGAATCCCCTTCGTTGGAAAATCGTTCTGTGCAAACAGGACAAAAACAACTTTTTCGTAAATAGATTAACTTTTGAATCCCCTTGTAGTGGCAAAGGCAGTTCAAAAATTGCTTGAGGTCACAAGTTCAAATTTTTTAAAATCCCCTTGTTACAATCCTGGCTACGCCACTCCTCACAGCATCGCCATAAAGAAGACTTAAGACTAAATGCAACAGTTAAGTTTCATTGCCATTGTCCAAAGAGCAATTCAACTATCAAGGAAGCACATAGGTATGACTTTGCTAACTCCATAAAGAAGACTAATAACTTATGTAACAACTAAGTTTAAAACGCATCCAAAAGTCAATTTAACTTTCAAGTAAGCACTTAGGGATAACTTTGCTAAAAGAATCCACACCACAACCATTTCAACAAGGAAGATTTCGAACTAAGTAAGAAAAAAGTCAATCCGTTAAATAATTGAATTATTAGCTAAGAGTCAATGAATTTTATCACGAAAGAAGAGTCTATGATAAAGGAGTGATACCTCAGCACGAGCGAAGATAAAAGCGAGGTAGTTATTGAAATCAGGGAAGTGAGAGTAGTGTTGAAGTTGTTGCCAAATCTGAGACTTATCTGAAGTCGGAGACATCTGTTGCTCCAATAATCCACAGATCTCTTTGAACCCTTCCTCTTGTGGTTGCCATGTTGTTCCACTCGCTGCCGCCATCTCCAATAACGATAATGATCGCAGCAAGTGATTAATCAGCGAAAAGGATTTTTTTTTTTTTTTTTTTTTTTTTTTTTTTTTACAGAGAGAAAGGAGAGCCGACGACGAGGCTTTTGTGTTTTTCAAAAGAAGAGAGGGGTTTCGGCCTTTCAGGCATTTGTGGAAAAGGTTGGATCGTCTGTGTGAGGGTTTACGGTGTGGGATTGTGTCGCTCCCAACCCAAATTAAACACGCGGATAGATACTAAAACCAAACTTTAATAAGAGTCATTAAATTTGTCGTTAAAATTATTAGATGCAAAATTAATTTTGTATAGCCGATTTCTTCTGATAACTCTTTTTCAATTGATCTTAGGTAAGATATTCTTAGTTTTAATTTTGAAAAACTCTTTTCCGTTGAGGCGACAGTAAAAATTGTTAACATTATTCTATAAGCAATATACGTTTCTGAAAATAATTAATTTTCTTAATCTAGATAGATATATCATTAAAGTATATCTTCTACTTGTACTATTATCTCAACGTTATCAAATTTTAGCTGAAAAAATAATATCAAATTAAAATAATAAAATTTGATTCAAGAAGTTAATATCTTGAAATCATAATTGACGTTAGCTCCTTAAATATGATCGCTGCAATGCTTAAAATATTAAGGAAAAATAATAAAGAAAAGAAAGGTAAGAAGAGACTCACTAAGAAGATGTTTTGGGTCCTTGACTCTAGTTTTTAGGAATAGCACTCTCAAAACTTGGACAAAGAGAATATAAAAGTGTAATATCAAGTCTTTGAAGAGTAAGCTAAAAAGGATTTAAAAAGAAAAACGGGTCCATCAATGAAGTTAGTGGTCAAAATGTAAATAAGGCAAGAAAATATTTGCGCTTAGAGTGATTCCCATACAGATATTTATCGAAAGGAAGATTTCTTTTTCCAAAGTTATGCTAAACAGTCCTACATAATTATACTTCTCCTTTAAACAATAAATATTCTTTAAGAAAAATTTGTTTACCCGAAAAACGGTACAGTTGAATTTTTTCATAATTTCTAGGCAAGTGGATTAATTTGATCCAAAAATAATGAAATAACTAATGAAATATGAAATACTTAGCCTTAGAATGTAGATGAAATAGCAGAGCTAATGAGTCCGGGAATAAGGTTTTCGGGCACAACAATGATAAGATCAAAAGCGAGAGAATCAAATTATATTAAAATGTTGTATAGAATGTAACATAAGTTGGCCAGAAAATTCGTGTCCTTACAATGATAACTCAGCACTCTATTTATAGATATGCCTAGGAAGGAAGTCCTAGGATCATGCCCTTCTTTAATGTCAATTATGAGGGTCATTGATGAAGATATAACGTTAGACATAAATACCAAATTCCTTGTAACAGGACATCATCTTTAATGCTGTAAAATATTCTGTATTAAATGTTACCAAATATTCTGTATTAAATGTTACCGGGCGCAAAACATTTAATACTCCTTTTATGATCGTTATTCCTTCCGGTGATAAGCGGAATAGCTATGTTCGGTGGCCATCTCCATCTTGTGTTCCACGTGTCCTTCCTTTAAGCGGCCACGTGACATGTCGTATTTTTTCCTATACAGATAGTCCTCCTGCTTTCCGGTGACATAACTTTGTATTACCGGGAAGTTGGTAGAAATACTCTTTTGGCGCTATAATTCCTTTTGAAGGCAACTAATAGTTGATTAGACGCCTGTCTCTCCGCATTAAATGCCCCGAACACGTGTCTTCCCATGATTTAGCATGCCTTTTGTCGATTATCGAGGTAATCATGGCCATGAATTTAGCCGCCAAAATTTTAGTTATACGCATCATCCTTCTTTTATGTACTTCATAATCTCTCAAACTTCTAATTTGCATTTTTATTTCTCAACTTTCCTCTGATCTTTTTCGAACTAGAAACTTCTTCGAACCAGAAATTTTCCTTCCTTCTATTCAATGGCTTCCTCTTCAAACGTGCTAGTTCTTCAAATGGCAAGAACAAAACCGAGGATTTCGTTCCTCCAACAGTGGGTTCCATCATCCCAAGAAGGCTTAGTACTTCGAAGGATTTTGAAGAGAAATTTCCTACTGCTAACCCTCGCACATGGGCTGTTAATAGATACATTTATTCTATTCGCCCTTCTAGTATTCCTGCTGTGAAGGAGGACTATCGCTGCCATGAGTTGGACATCATTGCTCCTGACCTATCGGAGCGAGTGACCCTTCCCAGGGAAGGGTTTACATATTTTTTCACGTATCCATTTACTTTGGGTGCGTTTTCTTTTAGCGGAGAGCTTGATCTCTCTATTTATAAATATGCCTAGGAAGGAAGTCCTAGGATCATGCCCTTCTTTAATGTCAATTATGAGGGCCATTGATGAAAATATAACGTTAGACATAAATACCAAATTCCTTGTAACGGGACATCATCCTTAATGCTGCAAAATATTCCGTATTAAATGTTACCGGGCGCAAAATATTTAATACTCCTTTTATGATCGTTATTCCTTCCGGTGATAAGCGGAATAGCTATGTTCGGTGGCCGTCTCCATCTTGTGTTCCACGTGTTCTTCCTTTAAGCAGCCACGTGACATGTCGTATTTTTTCCTATACCGATAGTCCTCCTACTTTCCGGTGACATAACTTTGTGTTACTGGGAAGTTGGTAGAAATACTCTTTTGGCGCTATAATTCCTTTTGAAGGCCACTAACAGTTGATTAGACGCCTGTCTCTCCGCATTACATGCCCCGAACACGTATCTTCCCATGATTTAGCATGCCTTTTGTCGATTATCGAGGTAATCATGGCCATGAATTTAGCCGCCAAAATTTTAGTTATACGCATCATCCTTCTCTTATGTACTTCATAATCTCTCAAACTTCTAATTTGCATTTTTTATTTCCCAACTTTCCTCTGATCTTCTTCGAACTAGAAACTTCTTCGAACCAAAAATTTTCTTTCCTTCTATTCAATGGCTTCCTTTTCAAAACGTGCTAGTTCTTCAAATGGCAAGAACAAAACTGAGGATTTTGTTCCTCCAACAGTGGGTTCCATCATCCCAAGAAGGCTTAGTATTTCGAATGATTTTGAAGAGAAATTTCCTACTGCTAACCCTCGCACATAGGCTGTTAGTAGATACCTTTCTTCTATTCGCCCTTCCAGTATTCCTGCTGTAAAGGAGGACTGTCGCTGCCATGAGTTGGACATCATTGCTCCTGACCTATCGGAGCGAGTGACCTTTCCCAGGGAAGGGTTTACATATTTTTTCACGTATCCATTTACTTTGGGTGCATTTTCTTTGAACGGAGAGCTTGGTTCCGTGATTGCAGGAGTTTTGCCTTCGCTACCAAGTGTGTTTGGCACAGGTAAGTCCTTCGGTGTAGAGGACGCTCGCCTGCCTTCGGCGTTTGTGCCTAGAAACTAGAGAGGAGCTAACCCTAACTCATATGATGAATCTTTATTCCCCCAAAATTTTTCGCGGGGGAATGATAAACCTTTGCAAGCGTGGCCACCAAGCTTTGCTGTCTAGCATGGACGATAACAACAACTGTGGGTGGATGTAACGGATCGTTGCAATTGCCACCAGTGACATTATTCCAACAACGACATCATCCTTTCTGGTTGCTTGGAATCGCTCTCGTAAGTTCTCTTTAATACATCTTTTCTTACTAAATATTCTTTCATGCTTGTATTGATCCTTCAATCTTCGTTTGTTACAGCAACTCAGTGGATCCTATCGGTGATAGAAAGCTTGGACCGGTGGGTTTAGAAGATCTTGAACATCACAATGCCCGAAAACCGTTTGTGGAAAGAATTGTCCATTAAATACGTGTGGAAGGCCAAAAATCATGGTAACTTTAATTTAGCTCGTTTCCACTTTTTGTATATGAAGAACTTGGTCGAACCCTTCTGGCTTGCTCACGAAATTAGGTCTACCTGCGGGCTCAGTTGATGTCCCCGAGGAGGATGTTTTGGCTAACCTTGCTGATGCGGCGAGGCTACTTCAGGAGGCACTTACTCGAACAGGCATCTCCGGGCCTGCTTCGTGCGCAAATGTTTCTTTACGGAGTCCCCGGCTAGAGAACAAGCAACCAAAAAAATTACATTCCTTTATGGTCGGGGAAAAGAATAAGAGGGCAAAGATTGATGCCCTCGAGTCATCTTCGGTGGCGATGATGATTGGTCCTCCTTCCGGGCCTGTCATAGACACTGTGATGATCGATGATTATGAAAAAGCTAATGATGAGGGAGCTTCTTTACATAGAAGGCGACGATCCTCATCATCTCAACAAGATGCTCAACCTGTTGAGACAGTCATACCAACCGAGGATGATGTCTCGGCATATTAGGGAGAATTTGATTTGGTAGATAATGTCAACTCCCGTTCTCGGGCCCCAATTGTTGTGCTCGGTACTGCAAGGCAGAGTATCGGGTCTGTGCTATCTTTGGTTGGCGAGCATCAAACAACTAGCATTGCATTTGATGCAGTTGCTTCACACTTTTCAACTCCATCAGCTTCAGCTTCACATTCACCATCACTAACAACTGCTACATCATTTCCATCTTCGTCCCCTTTTCAAACAGCGGTTGCTACATCATTTCCATCAGACGCACCTGACCATGAAGAAGGTATCCTGATGGTAGGCTATAATCTCGCATTTTAGTCGTTTATTGCACTCTAATTTACTGCACTTTAATTGAGTTTGAGCTTTAATCGCTAGTGTTCTGCACTAATTGTGTATTTTATGCCTTGTAGGAGAATTTTGAGCTATGTAAATGTTATGGAGCTAATTTGAGATATTTGGAGCTTTGAAGTATGAGTAAAAGCCCAAGGGATTAAGCTGGGATCGTGTTTGGGGGTTGAATACCACGTCTGGATGTCAAAAATCGAAGCAAAAGGCGCATGTGCAATTTTTACAGAGTATTTTCCTATTTCGCGCATGAGAAGGTATCTTCGTCTGGCCCGACCCTACTTGGTATAAATACATGGAAAATGTTATTTTTGGGACTTTTGACATATCTAAGACCTAAGGAGGCTAAGAAGGAGGGGGAGAAGCGAAAGCACAAGGGAATCATCA